TGTGGTCTTTGCTTCAATTAACTGCTGCACACTCAATCTGCCCTCCCTCTGGAATAACAGTAGTCACAGTTTCCTGGCATTAACAGGACATCACAGAACATTGTTATCCTCCTTGTTTGTCGGGCACACATGCTTAATTAACTGTGAAGAAAAGCTTTATAGGAGGAAGTAGACGTTCAGTGCCAGAGGGGCTATCATGTTGCCACAGAAACAGCTCAGAGGACACTCAGTGAACTACTTCTGTCAGAAATCATCAGCTTCTGGTAATACTCAGACTGCCATGATGGAAAGAAAGGGGATTCTTTTTTTCTTTTTTTTTGTAGAAATGAAAGTTGGAAGCATGTTGTTAAGAGCTGCATTCATGACAACCACGAGTTAAATTATAGGAATTTTCAGGCTTAAATAAATAAGAACGTTTAGATCATTTAAAATATAGAGTAACGAGAGACACTTAGGTGACCGCATTTTCAAAACATCCAGTTTTCAGTGGGCACATTCAGTTCAAGTAATAACAGCACTCTCTGAATGACAGTTATGAGGTTTACCATGACAGCATCAATAGCTGTCTCAGGTTGTGGTGAAAAATAATCGACATTAAAAACAAGCTGGTGTAACAGCACATCTGCTCTGTGTTTCCTCCTGCCAGGCAGAACCTCCAAAGAAGCCGTCCAACTGGCGCAAAAAACATGATGACTTCATCGCTACCATCCGGGCTGCTAAGGTCATCACTCAGGTCATGAAGGATGGCGGACCATTACCTCCACCTCCTCCTCCTACTTATGACCCAGGTAACACATAGATGAATTAAGCAAGGAAAGTATTTATTTTAATTTTTTTTGAAAGTAGGAAACTTTACAGACAAATTATAAAGATGGGCTGGAAATGTTTCTGCCTCAGAATGTTGAATCCCAAATATGTAACTTCTTGAGTTTGCAGTTGCAAGAGAAAAGAAAAACACACGTACAGGCAGACCTTCCCCACTTAGCAGTACTTACAAGTCTCTCTATATACTGGATTCAGGTCACTTGAGAGGTTTTATGTGTATTTTCTCACTAACCTGTCTTGTCTTCAGACTATGTCCAGTGCCCTTGCTGTGACCGGAGGTTCAACCAGGGTGCAGCTGACAGACACATCAAGTTCTGCCAGGAGCAGGCTGCCCGTATGCCAACCAAGGGCAAGTTAGGAGATGCCAAGAAGCCTCCTGGTCACACACCGGTACACACATGCACACACCGCACCGCTACATTTGTGTGCACACAGACTATTTGTGTTTCTGTTGGAAAATACTATTTTACTTAAGTTGACTTTGGTTGAATTTTCTAAATTACATTTTCTTACATTCATTTCTCATTGCAAATCTGGTTGTTCTAAACATAAAACATTGAAAAGTGCACTGCAAAATGTGACAGTATGAAATATTGTTTATGACACATTGCACATGCAGCTTTCATCTCATAATTAGAACAGCTGTGTTTACCCACAGTATTCATATCGATTAGAGCGTATGTGTAGATAGCTACGCAGCCAATTCTGCCTCTCATGTTATTTACAATTCTTTACGATTTAAGGAGTGCTGTTTGTGAATTCATAATTGCCCTTTTCCATTATTACCATTGTTAGACGCCCGCTTTGCAGCAGGCGTAGAATTACCGGCAATTTGGAAGCCAATAAAAACAGCAGGGTCCAATAATGAGAAAACATTGTTTCCCAGTCGGCCATCTTTTTAAATATTTACTGTGGATCCATGTTTTCAACTCTCAAATTTTCTTCCTCACAACAGTTAACAACACATTTTTACACCGGTTTGTAAAGCCGAACCATACTCCATGCATTGTACATTATGGTCTGCCCTTGTTTATAAAAACTATAGCATAGTGATGACCTGTGTGTCCGATCCCTATTTCTCTGTCTCCCAAGTAATGTGACTGTGTTGATGCTTTGCATCCCATGACCTCCGTGGCTAATGTTTTGTTGTTTTATGTAGGCTACTTGTTTATTTTCCATTCTCTCTCTCTCTCTCTCTCTCTCTCTATCAGTCCAAGCCTCCTGCCCCTGTAAAGAAGGCCAACTCTCCTGCTGTGTCAGCCATCCCTTCAGCCTCCTCTCGTTTACCCCAGAGATCAGGCCTTGGACAGCTCTCTGGTACAGGCACAGCTCTGTTGATCGTGCATCGTGGGGTGTTGTGTTCATATCTGACAGTTCTGTATATTTGTGACATTTTTTTTTTTTTTTAATGAAATGACTCAGGCTTCTCTTTTCTCTCTTTTGCTCCAGGGATCCCATCTAGTAAGGTCTCTTCTGCAGGTTCAGTGAGGAGCAATCCCTCTGGCCTCACAAGCCCTCCATCAGGGTCAGTGCTCACTCACAGTGCTCATGTGAAGCTATGGTTAACACTATGATTGACTTAATTGATGGCTTCATAAGAATAACGGGTTACATCTATGAATACAGTGGGTCAACTCACATGTGAGTTTTGAACCTGAAAATTCCAGTTTTAAACTCTAAACTGTCTTTACAAACCCAAGTGGTTTGCACTTTACACATGCTTGTCTTTCTCCTCCTTCTGTTTGTCCTCTCAGTGTGGGAAGTAAGACTCGAGGTGGGAGCTCCGGCTATGGCTCTGTGAGGACCCCTCAGTCGGGAACGGCAATCAACAAGAAGAAAGTAGACACCTGCATATCTAGGTGAGCCAGTTCACTAATAGGTTTGCTAAAATATAAACACGAGAATGAATCAAAACAAACTACCATACAGTTGATGTAAACTCTCCTTCCCTCTTGTGCTTTATCGGAGTATTGCATACAGATCGAGGACATTCCGGTCCCATTCAGTAACTTTAGTTTATACAACAGGTTACTGAATGGCGCTTAATTGTGCGCAGTCTAGCGCATAATTATGATGTCAATAATAATGCAATCTGTACAGCTACAGGTTCTGTTTACTTGGGTGATAGTAATGCTGACACTTAATACAAATGAGGCTAAAATATGTCACATACATTCACCATGAAGTGCTTGAAGTACACCTTGTAGGAAAGCTTCAGCATTTTATCATCAAACTGACATGTTAACACTAAAATATTGACTTAATTTGAAGTTATGTATTTGTTTGCATATTGTACTATCTCAACTTAACTGAAATAATACTCATAATACAGTGAGCAATGTGTTTAAAGTATTTAAAATCCCTACATTATTTAAACCCTTAATAATCTGTTATCAACAGTATCATCAGCCCTGCACTAAAGCATCACGAATAACAACGTGATGTACTTGGTTTCTAACGTTGCTGCTTGGTCATCTTTGTTGAATTTCGCAGGAATGACGTGGTTGACAATGGTGGGATGCGGAGCAAGTCCTGTCATGCTTGTGGGACCAAGTACCCGGTTGAATCCGCCAAATTCTGCTGCGAGTGTGGAGTCAGGAAGATGTGTATCTGATGGCGGTCAGGAGAGGGAGAAACTAGAGATGTATGGGGATGGCACTGGTATTCAAACTAGCACTGGAGAGGTTTGACAAAGCTAATCAGTCTGTATTTTCACGCTTGTGGGTCTCATTTCACGGCAGTAAAGTGGTGTAATCGTCGGCAAAATACCCCACGGTGCAGTGTCATGGAATCTGCTGGTCCATGCCACTTTATTCACATTTCTTCAGTGCTTCCTGCTTCATAGTATACCATTTGTGATTAGTACACACCATAACCTACAATTAATTTTGCATTTAGTCACTATGATTGCTGTGTATTGCGGCTGATGGCATTTAGTGGCAAAACTGATACAGCTGGTATAAAGTTATGTTAAACTGTGTTACGGTTCATGATATCATCAGCTGATGTGGCTAATGATACAGGAACAAGCCATTCTGCTGGTACAGCACCGCGGCTGATTCCACCACATGAAGATTATTGCCGTGAAACTAGAGTAATCATTTTATTACTCATTTTATTGTTGTTGGACAATAATTATGTTTATCAGAGTCAATATCAGCAACTGAAAGCCATTGGTGCATCCTTAGAAGAGAGTACAGATGAGTGAGAGATTGGCTAAAAGCGAAGAGGTGGGTTGTAAAATGTGAACGAGGAGGTAATGGGTTAGTGTTGGGTGACTCATTGGAGGGTGGGTGTGATTACCCGCGTATCTCAATCCCCAGTCAACCGTGATCTGAAATGCATTCCTTAATCCCAAAAATATGTTCTTATTGAAGTGCAATACGATTGACTACTGAAGAAAACAGTGTGGTTTTTGTTAAAGGAAGTGTGTTGTCATTTTTGGAAAGACATCGCCTTGTTTCAGCAGACCAGTCCAAAAATGAACCAGCTGTTATAAAGAGGTCAGTGCTCCCTTTACGGTACCTTTCACAGGCAACATTTGTTTCCAGCTGTCTTAATGTTACCCCTCATAGGCCGGACTTCTCTAGACAAATGTAGCATTAACTCAAACCCGTTTATTCCCCCTCATTTTATACAATGCAATTAATTATTTATTTTTCATTTTACTGAATGAACAATGACTGCATCTCTTTTGTTAATGCTTTATGGAATTAAAATGTTTTTCTCTGGAGTTGTATGAAACCTAACTGCACATGGATGTGTTGCCGGTTTTTTTTCCTTGAAAGCTTTTCTATTCTGCCAGTATTCAGTGAATTTAGGTATTTAGGGTCAATACAGCAACACTACAGTCATGTAAAATGCCCTGTACGGGTACTGTTGATCTCGCTCCTTGATACGACTCTTATATATTACCCCACACAGTTCATTTACAGGTGGGACGCTAAGGAGGAAAAGCCTCTCCTTGAGGTTGCCTATTTTATATTACATTACAGTCATTTAGCAGACGCTTTTATCCAAAGTGACTTACAATTCAGATTTTATCACATTTCTACACCGTAGGCACAGCTACGGGAGCAATTTTGGGGTTAGAAGTGTCTTGCTCAAGGACACCGACATGCGTGGAGCGGAGCCGGGGATTGAACCGCCGATCCTCTGATTGAAGGTCGGCCCTGCTATCCACTTAGCCACAGTCGCCCAGATGCCCATATGTAATGCTCATTAACCCTCACACTCTTAAGAGTGATTAAGTATGATAATCTTTGAGTCCTTTGAGAAGTTGTTAAGTTTCAATAAGCCAATTGTATTTATGTTGCATGACAAATGCTTAAACAGGCTGGACAGGTGTGCTTTCCTGCGCTGATACAAAAGCTGTTAGCCTGGATACAGATGACATGTATATCCACCATCAATAAATGTCTATGAAGACGGCTGTGACAGCAATTAACTACATGATAATGCATTATGTATGGTCAATGACAGGACCAGAAAATAGCTGTTGGGGCAAAAGCTGCATGCTGATATGTTTTTTTTTTTTTGCATTTCTGATACATACAAATGAACAAAAGGCCTATTCAAAAATGATATAAAACTACACATTTGGCTCCCCAATCTACAGCACAGTGCTGATAGGATTAAGCAGGCAGACAGGCATCATTAATCAAAGCACCAGGTGAGTTTGACAGGAAAGCTTCTTGGACGTTTCCCAGAACCGAGCCAGGTGTGTGTGAGCTGAACTCAGCCATCCGTGGCAAGATGTGCTTTTAACACATCAATCACACTCTGATTAATCAACACTATCATTTTAAGGAGAGTACGAATGACTTGACACACAGCCTAGAACAACACCCAGACAAACGAGAAATAAGAAAAGGTGTGCCAGCGCTAGTCATTCCACTCCAAAGTGAAAGTAAAACTGTATTTGAGCACCTTAATATATCCTGCTTATGCTTGAGCTGTCATTGCTAAGTGCAAGTAAAGGTCATAGCATATTCTCTGCAAACTAATGGCTGGAAAACATAATTTTAGCTGCATGTTTGTAGCTTTACATTTTATAGTTCACCATTTTGAACGCACCTTCCGCCATCTAAGAGCTTCCCTGTGCCGTGCATCGTGCACCCTTTGTCGAGTCCTTAAGACATTCTTCTGCACATAGAGTTCACCATGTTGGACGACCATGGGACATTATTTTCCAGTTAGCTAAATAGCTTGTGTTTGTTTAGCTTGGAAACTTATCTGAAGAGTCAGTAGTCACGCAACATCCAAAACAATTGCAAGAGAGATATACTGGTACTTGACAAGATATATAGCTTAAATGAAGTAGAAGCTTCCTCTTGCACAATCCAATGAAGGACTGCGTAACTGGAAGGAAGTGCGAGTTCTTTGCTTCACAATTAACTTGGGTTTGGTCCCAGGTCTATTTGTATAGTGTTCAGTATCTCGTAGCATTTGGTCATGGCAGACATGATTGCCTCGGCTTTGCAAAGTGTTTTAGTCTCCTTCCTGCTTATTTTCTGCTTGTTTCTTCTGTGTTGCGTTGTCCTCATCGTCGACCTTACGTTGGGTTCTTTGGTCTGGTCAACAGAAGTCAACACACAAACACAATGTGCAAATTAGTGTTGAGTCCTTATAATGTGCTGAGTTTAGCTCCATGATCTCATGAACATCGGTTCGGTATAATGCTAAATCATAAAGTGATATGCTTTATCACTGCAATACTCGTCTTATTAATGCTTATTTATCTCTTGTCAACATAAAGTGACTCTCTCCACGGTCTTTCTCAGACAAATCAAAGTCTGACCTTTTGACAACCCTGACTGCAATCACAAAATACTATTCTGCTTCTACCATATATGGGGTTTGATCAAAGTACATTGTGTTCGTCAAATGCAAAGGGCAGCCTCAAAAAAAAGTTCCAAACCAACCACATGAGCCAGTATTTTAAACTTGTACTGGTCTGGCGAAGCCTGAGGCTCTAAAGAGGCCTTGGCTCCGCTGTATGACTCAGACTTCAGCGATGAGCCTGAATCATCAAATTTGATTCTGATCTGACAGTGTTGAAAATGAAGGACAGGTTGACGACACATAACTGATCCAGGGATAAAGAGGGTGTGGTGTCCCGTAGAAATTTGGGGGGAATCCAAATCCAACTTGTTATATTTTTTTACTGCATCCTAATAAAGCCAAAATTCCGACACACTCTTCACAAGTGTTTTCATTGTAGTGCGCAAAGCACAACGTGTCCTCACCTTCTGCGGGTACATTTTCTGCTGTAGCTCATCTCTGTCTGGCAAACTAGTGTCAAATAGGATCGTGTTTGGATACACTCACACAGCCAGTAGGCTGTATAACTTATCACTGAGTCACCCACTATGTGGGGAAAAAAGAAACACTACAGCCTGCCAACATTCCACTGTCCTTGTCAGTTAAATATGACAAACCAAAATCCCACACAAAGAAACTGAAAGAATCGGTTTCTTAGGTTGGTCACCTAAGAAGCTGCCCCATCCAAAGAAAAATCTACAGTTATTAAGATAATTTACATTTTTAACAAGGGAATGTGCAGAGACTTACCGGTTTCTCGAGACAAGTGCATTGTAACGAGTTTAGGACAGACGTGACCAGTCGATCTGTGTGGGATATGCTTAAAATCTTCATTTTGCAGGTTAGGAAGTGCAAGGTGCTCAGAACATCCTGCTGAATAGAGGTATATGAGTCGGTATTTGAGTCATGACAGTGTACACCCTCTGTGCCAAAAGCAGTTCTTCATGCAGTTGTTAAATGATGTGTGGGTACTCTTTTTTTATTTTTAAAGTGTTGAATGAGCGTGATATCTGGGTTTTCTGGTGGTCTGGTCATTAATGTAATTCTACTTGAAGGTTCACCAAGCAATTCACTAACAGTTATTGAACTGTGGCAGTGAGCTTGTTGGAATTTCCCTCTCCAATGTAAATACCAAAGGAAGAGCATGAGCAGGTTTCTATGGTCACCAGTGTACATTTTTGATAATATTTCAAGCATTACTAAATTACATACCAAGCAAATCAAAAGGAAAGAGACATCAAAAATAACAGAACAGGCAAAAACCAAATAACTATTACTCACCACGTTGGCTGATGTGCAGCTATGCAGCTTTTGTTTCAGGTTTTGGCAAGATGAGTTTTGCAGCATGGTTGCGATAATTCCATTCTTGAGAGAACAAAAGTATTATAGGGGTACATATTAGCAATATAGAAGACGATTTTATAGAAGGGGCAGCTAGTTACAAGTGTGCACTTTTGTTATTTATGTAAAGGAAACACTTTCAAATCATGTTTTTAGGTTATTTTTACATTATTTTGACGTCTTTTAATATCAAAGTTGTGATATATTTACAATTTAAGCTTAAGCATGCATGTTGTACCCAGTGGAAAACTTTCTCCATACGACAAACAGACAATTTACTTAAAACGGTCCTCCTGATGCTGTCAAATATTCCCATCGAGACCTTGAAGCAAAAGCACTCTTTTCAAATGTATTAATGTAATCTGCATAATGGTTCCACAGCAATATTTTGAGCAACTGTCTGAACCTTGAATAATACATAATAATACAAATTTCCTAACCGAAACCTCCTAATAAAATGAAAAAAGAGGGTTAAAATAAATATATCAAATAAACAGAATTGGTATCTTACTGCGTTGTTGATATCAGTTTGAACGATTATGTTGTAATGGCCTTGAACGTCTGTGGGAGGCATTTTGCTGTTACAGGACAGAGATAGAGGTAGAAGCAGTAGAGCAAGGAGACTGATGCAGAGAAGAGGCTGAGCGTTTATAGTAATAGTGTGAGGGGTACAGGGAGAGAGGAAGACAGACAGGTCAGTCGACTAATCCAAAACATGTTTGCATGTAATACAGTTAAACATTTTTCATGTGAGGAACTTCAATAACACTTGGCCTTTAACATCCATTCATTTTAACACAGCTTTGTTCCTGCAGTCTAAATCACTGTTGCTGAGACATATCTCATTTATTATTATTATATTATTATATTGACCTATAAGGATCATGTCAAGTGGCCCCTATGTGACCTTGCACTTCATAAAAGACACGTCCAAATATCCCAGCTGGACAAAACATCCCTGCTACCATCATTTCAAACCATAGGACTGTCATTACAGTACATTCAGGTACAGTTTTGAAGTACTGTACTTATATTTTACTTTAATATTTTCATTTAATTTCACTTTAAACTTCACTACTTCTCAGCTGGAAATAGTGAAGTTACTCCAATTATTTTATTTGATAGCTTAGTTCATTTGCGGATTAATATTCATTTTCAAACATATAATGGAATCAAATATGACAAGAGTTTTGGTTTTGACTAAATAATCAAAAAAAATATTTGATAGACTTTGGTAGAAAAGTATGTGTTCGATGTTGGTATGCACAATGTGAAAATATATATGAATATTGACGAGACTGTCAAACATTAAAAAATGTATTTCTGTTCACAAGGTAGGCAGCAATTAAAACCAGCATTTGTCAGCACTGCAGCAACCTGGCAAA